CTTCAACATGGGACAACTAAAACCCTTAGAGCCTCCTAGGATGCCAATCCCAACCAATATGCCAATGGATACAGGAGTTGAGCATGGAGGAGAGCAAGAGAAGAGCCATAGCCAGAGGCTAGAGCCCGGGGTCTCGATAGGGCAAAAGAGGAAGGGCAAGGAGGTGATGATGGACCCAGAAATTGCCGACGATGGGAGTAGTAGGTGTCTAACGCCTAAGGATTCATTTATGGAGAACAGGGATGAGGAGCAGTTTTATTCATCTCTGTTGATTATTACACCTGGAGATGGTAATGATGATTTTCTATTGGTTTCACGAGGCAATTGTTCAAATATGCCGGACACGGAGGATACCGAGAACGAAGTGGTAAGGAAAGATACACAGAAACCTTTCCCATTGGATACACCTACAGAAGGAGCATTTTGTAGTCACCAAGATTTGCCTACTGGGGCAACTGGATCTACTCCGTTGGCAACGGATGAGTATGTCACACCGATGGCCACTATACCAGGGGTAAGGGATGCTCGCGTTATTCCTTCTAATGCAGTTAACCCGCTTGAGTGTGATACAGGTAGATCCAAGGTTAGGGAGAATAGTACTCAAGAACCTACCAGAGACGATGATCCTGAGGACACGCAGACGATAAGGGAAATGTTCCAATACAAGAGGCGGGAAAAAAAGAGTTCAAAACGTCGTGCAGTTCAGACTAAGAAGCCGACAGTGCCCATGCATGAACCTAAAACAAGAGCTGCGAAAGTTAAAGCAGCTGAAGCTAAGAAGAAGGTAATGGCACCTAGGCCAGTTGATACAATTGAACTAGACTTGTCCGAGGGAGAGGAGGTCGAGACGCAATGGAACGTGGCGAATTTAGCCACTCGTACTTCATTAATGAAATCCCATAAGATTATGACCGAATTGGGATTTGACCTCAATCTAGGAGATGTGCCTGATGATTGGAGGGAGACCGCTAGAGATAAAGAATGGAGACCACTCATTCAGCCCATACAATGTGAGGCTTTGGAGTTAGTCAGAGAGTTCTATGCTGCTGTCCATCCTCAGTCACATATAGTCATAGTGCGTGGGAAGGAAATACGGTTTGATGCCACTCAGATCAACTACACCTTCAACATTAAGAATATCAGAGATGCTGTGGGCAATAAGATGTTAGTGACTCCGACTCTAGAACAGCTCGGTGAGGCTCTAGAATGTGTTGGGAAGCCCTCTGCCACTTGGGATTTGACTACTCATGGCAAGGTACGACTAAGACCCGAGGATGTTTCACTAGCTGCTGCAGGATGGTTGTATATAGTCAAAAACAGAATTCTGCCAACGGAGCATGATGAGCATGGCACTCAGGATAGGGCCCTGCTGGTTTATGCCATGCTAAAGGGCATAGATGTGAATTATGGAGAATTGATCAATACCAGTATCCATGAGTGTGCCCACCGGACACGTGGTAAGCTTTATCACCCACGCTTGGTCACTTCTTTATGCTTGCGACAAGGTGTGCAGCTCCCTGAGGATCAAATTATAAGAGATTCCCCAATTGTGGAAGAGAAGAATATTCGGAGAATTATCGCCCATGCGCTACAAAGAAGGGAAGGTACTGGGACGTCTCCTACATCGGAGATCCGTCGTCTTCGAGAGAAGAACCAACAGCTGCGAGATCAGGTTCGCGAAGTCGTGCAACATATCTACAACTTGAGGGCTTCATTGGATTTTGCAGTTTTACCTTCATGGCCTCCAGCGCTAGCTGCTATCCTTGGTCATCCATCTTCCAGTACCGACACTGATCCTAGTCCACAACCTCCGACTTCATGAAGGGGAGGTTCCTTCTTTGCTATTTTTTGTATTCTACTTTTGGTTAATGACGTCGTTTACATATTCTAGCCTTACTACGCATGTTTTTTTTTGTATTGATTATGTTTCGAGCTCAGTTGAAGCATGCATAAATTAGTATCGTTTATCTTCTGATCACTTAAAGTATGCCTTCACTTAACCTTAGTTTAGCTTTTCACATGCCTACTTTGAAGTATCTGTGTTGTGCATGTGATTTCATGTCAATGATGATTCTAAGAGATTGTTGAGTTTTCTGTTCTATGCCTGACTAAACTTTGAGCTATTTCCTTCGTTTATGTGATAAACTCATTTTCTTTTATGTCTTTTTTATCTTTACAAACTTTAAGCTTTTTCTTTGCCCCTATATAGGAAGTCCTTGTCCTTTTTACTGTTAAGCCTTTTTCATCAGATACAAAAGTCTTTTCCCAGTGAGGACACTGTCTCTCTTAAGTTTTGGGGGGCCAGTCGTTGTGTCAGTCATTGGTTAAGAAAGATAAAGTGTTATTTATATTTGAAAAATCATGCTATTTTCTTTTGAAAAAGAGTCAGTTGGAAAGAAAGAAAGTGTTGAAAAGCACTTAGTTTAAAAAAAAAATAAAACAAAAAAACAAAAGTTGCAAAAGAGTAAAAAGAGTCTTGTTGAGAGAAAATAAGAGTGAGGAAAATACTTATGTTAGAAAGAAAATAGTGGTAAAAACAATGAGAGTTAAAGAAAATGTATTTATGATTTYCGAGTCCTACTGTAGACACCCATTTAGTTTTAGGTTGGGTGTTGATTTTGAAAATGGCAGTAAGGATGGTGATAAGTGACTTCGTGTTTCTCATTGTCGTCGTCTTATGACCTAGCTGTTAGTTTCAAAGTCTTTCTACGAGTAGCTGTGGTTGAAACCGATGTTAGTGTGTGGAAACCTTAGGGGCTRGTAGCCGGTCTTTCAGATGTAAAAGTCTCWATGTAAAARGGGAGTGTGCAGATTCCTTAAGGGTATTTGAAAACGTTTTCTGTTTTTGAAAGGAAAAAGGATTTTGAAAGAGAAAGTTTTTATCATTTCAAACTTGGTTTATAGTGACTAAGCTTACAAAGGCAATAGAATGGTAGGCTTTGACATCTTTTCCCTGAGACAATTTATGATTGAACATCTCGGTTGCTTTTGCTTTACCTTGTCCATGTGTTAGAAAACTGATTAAAGTTGCTAAGTTTTGCTTGAGGACAAGCAAAAAGTTAAGTTTGGGGGTGTGATTACGCTTGTTTACGTGCGTAAAAAGAAGGTTTTAGATGCTGTTTTTAC